AAATTTCCTTAATCGGTTAACCGAACCGAATTATTTCATTCAACCGATTGCCAACCGGTTAAGATTAACTATCTACTGCCATTGGAAATTCTCAGAGCTTTACTCTCTTGTCTTTATGTTTATTCATTTTCTTTTCGGAATTTTTCGGACTCCTTACATCATTTTCATATTATATCTATTCCGCCAACCAGTTGTATTGGGTCAACTGATTAAGAATTTCCTCAACCGGTTAATCGAAAATTATTCATTTCGGGTCGATTAACCGATTATAGCCCAACCGATTCAAATCACTACTTGAAACTCTTAGATTATATGTAAAATTAAGAGCTGAGCAAGTTTACTTAAGATGTTAAAAGCAGTTATCTTAATAAAATATTGAATTATTAAGGATTTTATACTGGCGAATTTTTAGTTAAATTTTGTTAAGTGATTGACGGAAAGAGTTTTTTAGCTTTTTGTCAAGTAATATATTTGTTTAACTTAACTGGCAATAACACATTTTATTATTGAAATATTTTATATTTAGTTAAGCCAGGCAAGCATATTACAATACTAATATTATAGCTAAAATTTTTGTAAAATAGCATCTTTAACTAAATAAAAACTAATATTCAAAAATTATTTTAACACCAAAAAAAAAAACAAAAAATAAAAAAAAAATAAAATCTATTTAACTATATATTTCATTTTAAGTTTTAAAACAAATTTAATTTTTACAAAATATAACTTAAAAATTTTAGCACTAATATAAAAAAAAAAACATATAGTATATTAACCAATCAAATTTTATAAATAATGATAAGCAAAATTTTCAGCACTATGATAACGATAAAAATTTGATGCGACTAGACAGTTCGCATCATATATAGTTAAACCATTTTATCAATTTAATCAGGACAACTTGACCAGAGATCCTTCGAACAACCAGCAAATTTATTGAATAATTCTTTTTAGATGTTAATTAATTATTCAAATTATTTATGAAAAGTTCTTTTTTTTTCTTACACAAAGTTACTATTTTGACAAAAACCTCTTAAATGATTAATAAATTATATATAATTTACGAATGTCGAAAATTAAAATATTTACAAACAAAAATTATTTCATACTATGGTTTGAAATAGTCGATAGAAGTTAATCTACTAACGTCCAATTTAAAAGGAAGAATCTGGATCTGAGTTTTTTTTAAACAAGGATTGTAATAATTATACAAAGCATCAACAGAACTATTAAAAATTTAAATTCAACTGATGCCAATATCATCATCTCAACCAACAAACATGTTATTATTCAGCAAACCATCTTCTCAAAACAGTCGTTGGGCCAAGTATTGGATGCAGCAACACGTAGGCTAAAAAATATTCCAAATCTTTGCGACGTTTCTCAATAAATTCAGGCATAAATTTTCCCATGATTCTCTTTGGTGGTAAACAAGGAATCAATTTGCGGAACTTTGGATAAGCTTTTATCAATTGTGATCGCAACTTAACAAAGTCAGAATATCGTTTTCTGATAACGATACTTGCGCCCTAATTAATCAAATAGTTAAATAATGGGACATCATATAAATTAACAGTAAAAGTACAGAATAATCACCTCCTGGCTTTTGACAGTACATGTATAAGCAATGTAAGAACCATAACCTGTACCGATACGTATTGGGTTACTAACATTAACTTGTTGAGCAAATAAATTTGCAGGTTTATGCCGAAGAAGGCTTATATGATAAGAAGATGTAGCTTGCGAAGATAGGGCAGAAAAAGCAAGCGAAGTAACATTACTAGAGTAATCATTATCAGCCTAATAAATATATAAATAAAATGAGTAAATAAGAGTAAATTAAAATTATTAAAATTGATATCAGCAAGTTAAATAGGAACACACCCAACGTATAATTGGTTCTTCAGGAACCGATTCTAGAAGAGTTGGTAATGAACGAGAAGAATTTGAACGTTTCGAGTGAGAAGTAAGATCTTTAATGAGGAATGGTTCAGAGAGGTCATTGTTGGAATGATTATCTTCTTGCCTCTCTACGGCATCAACAAACTCGTCATTTGTATCGTCAGATTCATGGATTATTAATTGAGAAAGCTGACGTGTGGCAGGTGAAGAACATATATCACGATCAAGTTGTAATGACGAATGACCAGTATTAGTATTAAGAGAAGTATCTGCTTCAGTTTGTTCTTGAGAGATAAATGTTGTAGTAGAAGCCTTGGATGGAGGTTGTTTCAATCCAAGATTACCTATGAATAATCGAGCAGCCGAGACACCTTCGTTATCCATTGTATGACGTCGAGCCAAATTTGATTTAAGGCAACGATCTTGAATATCATCAGAAGCAGGAGATGGAGGAGACATAATACTAGCAGGTCTACTACGTGCTGAAATGTCAGATGGAGAAGAATCATCCTGGAAAATGTGGTCGTCACCGCAAACAAGATCATTAGCGGACAAAGACTCATCAGTTTCGTATTCATAATGATCATAATTGTCATAATATATCGTTTTTCTATGTTCTTCAGGGTTTGGGATTTCAACCGATGCAACTATTTATAATACAAATCATTGTAAAAAAGGTATATTAAACAAAATTAATGGTTTATAATTATATGCTTACGCTCAATTCCTCTTTTCAATAACACATGTAAGTGTTCCATTGTATCTTGAATATAATCATACCAATTGCTAGAAATATTATTTTGGTGATTATTTAATTGTTCTTTGATCTCTGATATTTCATTCATTGCAGAGCGAATTTCGCGCCGTATTTCCAATACTGTTGGATGTGATCAATCGTATTAACGTATTATAGGAATGATGGAAAAAATTTGCGGGAGAAGAACGGAATAGATTTAATGTTAACATTATATTGCTTTATAAGATCCTCTTTTACGTTCTTTACAAATTGAACATTATATACACGAATAACTATATTTATATATATATATATATATATATATAAAATAATAAAAAAAGAAGCCAACCACAAGATCATGTACATACCATGCAAAGACTTCGAAGCCAGAGCAATATCATAAGCCAGGCTTGCGTCCACGTCAGCCTCATTACTAGAACTTTTCACTAAAGTTCGTTTCCTTATGAGAGAATCTGATTGTTTCTGTAGCAATACTTTTTTTAAAAGTACGAAAATATACATGTTAATATAATTTAAGTCACCACAGCACCGAGAGAACTAGTTTATAGTAATCGAAATGCATACGAGTTACATGGCTTGATAAATCCAATAGATCTTGTGCTTGACTTTGTAAATCCATTATTTATATTAGGAAGAACGAAAAAAAAAATAGTGAAGAATTAAAACAGATAACTTCAAAAGTTGTTTTTTATACTAGCACAGAACAGTACCGTGTATAATAAAAAAAGAATTCTACTTTGTGATGTTTGCGGATAAGGAATCATGTTATCCTAAAAGGTAAAAACTATGCAGCATATTGGTGACACAAACATAATTTACAGTGATTCGTTTCTTTGTCAGCAAGGTTACTTTTCAAGGAGTAGAATCTTTAATTATTCCAAGTATTCTCATCACGTTTCTTACTGTATTCGTTCAATAAAACCTGCTTTACTTTCTTCATTGTACTCCCTAAATTGAACCCATATGCATAAAGCTAAAAGTTTAAAAAATATAAACATTTGCACATTGCATAAACTTGTATCTTGCATGCTAACAGCCTATTAGGTCCTAAAGGAGTCAGATTTAGTGGTAGTAATTTAAATCGTTCGAATGAATGATATAATTAATTTCTCTTAATGTCTTGAATTCAATCCATAATGTACTATATAGTTCTTGTATACTGTCAGCGTAGAAAGCTACGCTGGATTTTTCTAGGTGGTAACTGCATGTACGTACATACGTACGTACATATGTGCTTTCATTGTGAACGTTTTTGTATAAAGCTTTGAACTATGTTCACAATGTGATTTAATCGAGAAAATGTGGAGATCGCCGAATGATATCATTAAACAAATATCACTCAGTTCAAATTTTTTACAAATTTATGACTGATAAGGTGAAACTAAACGTCACTAAATATGGCTAACTAATCTACTTTTTTTAATCCGGCTTTATTTAAAAACTATTGTTGCTATTCGCAGTACGTCAAAAAATTAGTACTTGATGTAATTAATATTTGATGCTAACCTCTTTCTAACTTAACCCCAATCTCTAGGTACGTAACTACTACCAATTCAAAAAACTACAGCAGTACTCGTGGGTACTGTGTGAAACCTATTATATTAGTGTCTGGGCATGTTTCTAACATTCATGCATTATCGTTATTAAAAATTAATTTTCTTTTTGTATAACTCATTTATTTGTTTATAGCGATGGTTTTATTCAGTTATTGGCGTTGGTTTATACTTGGAGATCAACGGATAACACCGATCACGGCACTTGGAATTGACCAATCAGATTACATAAACGGACAAATTAGACTTTTATATAACGAAAATAGATAAATTAATAATAATTGCACCTCCGGGTAGAGATTGATGCTGATGCTGGTGAAATTAATTTCACCAAATTTCACCAATTCAACGCCAATTTCACCAATCACTCTAGTTTAGAACCTGTCCAAAAAACCACAACCAAGGTGACCCGCGGGCAGTGTTGAAAGTCAATTTTTAATTTAGTTGCGGGACTGCAACTAAAAAGATCTACTTGCGGATTATATGAATTTAGTTGCTCATATCTGATATGAAAATATCAACATGCAAATTCACAAAATTCGCTTTAGGCTTTACTTGCAAGCTGCCCGCGGATGGATTTGCTTATTTGTGCCGGTAATACATCCCTAAAAAAAGGAAATTATTTGTAAATAAACAAAGTGCGTAAAACCACAGAAGCTATAGCCATAAACTGCTGCCCATTATATGTGTTCGACATTTTTCGTACGTGTTCGGAATTCATGTCGGGCTGATCCGGAACGATCAAAATTCGAACTCTGTTTTCTTTTTAGGACATATGGGCCAATTTGACGCATGTGTTGATCATTTTGTTGTGACAAAATCATGATATATTAAAAAAACAATAATCACATCTATTTTTAGTATCATTTATTATGACGACTTCTAGCTTATATTATTGTGGTTTTTGTTCAAAAACTTATATTCATAAAGGCTCATTAAAGAGTCATGAAACATCAAAACACAAAAACAATAGGTCTCTTCATAATCGATATCCTCTTTATATTCCTCTTTTTTCTGATTGTCAGCAATTTTGCTCAACCTTTATAAATCTTGTACAAAAGCGGTTAACCTCCCACCGTTCCACTCAAGGCCTAAAGCTTATAGAATTTCCTTGTTCAGAAAATATTTTTGCATTTTATTTTCGGAACGAAGAAAATTTCCAATATATACACTACCAAAGAAAATATAATTGTATATTTAAAGGTTCACAAGGATATCAAAGAATCGCGAAGTTGTTCAATTTTGAAGAATGGGGAAAAACAATTGACAAAACGGGTACAGAAACCTATGTAGTTTTTAATCAAGTAAATTTATATAACAATACAATTGAGGAAAAAGAAGTTAAGTTTTGTTGGAAAGAAAGAGGAAAATTTTTTAAATATGGTATTATAACTTTTATTTTTGAAATCAATACTGAAACTATTGAAATTGTTGATGAATAACTATAAATTCGGTATGTAGCTAAAAATTATTTAATTGCTTTTTTATATAATTATCTTAATAAAATAATTTTATTTATTATTAATGAAGCTAAAACCGTTTAGATATGGTCTTTATGTATATAAAATAGATTTAATTTTTCGATGTATTTGATGTATTAAAATTTCAATAAATACATTTTGTATTGATCAGAGAAATTATATATATATTTTTTTAAAAAATTGAAAATTTTGAAATATAGTTTTAATATTGTTTGACCAAAATTAGAGTTCGACTTCATACAAAAAAAAAAATAATAATAATAATAATCATACCATTAGTGCATCCTTATTTTCGCCAAATTTTAAATGCTCTTTTTTATTTTCATAAATGTTTGTGCCTATGCCGAATAATTTATAACTGTATAATTAGATGTCAATGGCTAAAC